CTGGGGGTGTGCTGGCCCCATACCGCCGAGGTGTGGACTGTGATGGAGCCCCGGTACGCCCCGGGCGCTCCCGTGCGGATCGTACAGCCCTGCGCCACCACCGCCGCCTCCGCCCTCGAGGTAACCCCCGTGCAGCCCACCATCGTCATACTGAAACCGCCATAAAGCAAAACAACGAAAAAAATTAGCGTTAATTATCGATCGTCGCAACGTGCTTGTAATTAACGCGGACTTCGGCAGATGTTCGTCTTGTCCTGAGAAAACGCGACTATACGGGCGCTATCGAAGTAAGTAAATTTACGATCGACGCATACCGCCACTTCCGTTCGGCCAATCCTTGTCGAGTTCGATCGACTGCAGACTCTATCTATGGCCTTCCACAAAGAAACTTGCTAATCGAACGTAATTACGTCGTATCGCTATCGTTGCATTAACCTCTTATAAAAAGTAGAGTCGCAGACAAGGTGAAATATAGTAAAGTTTAGGTGAGAACCTTGGTACTGTTGATAAACAGGAACGGGATTTGATTCGCTATATGACCACGTGGTGGATCACAAGTTAAATCATATGTGGTTAAGTCATATGTGGAAATTGTTAAATGTAATATTTTCATATGTATATAGTAATTCTGACGTGAACATACGTTGTTATGGGTATAGTGTATAACACGTTGAGTCGTCATGCATTGCATCACCTTGCGCTATAAGGTCATATATGAGACATAGTAATTGTCTCATATAATCTATAACATACGCATGTGTGGTGACCGTCACATGTACGCCACGTGTAATACCAACACAGTGACTGTCGAGTGTAATATCAATGTGCTTGATAAGTATCATGTGTAGTATCACCACACGTAGTAATCGTCATGTGTAGTGTGGTTGCATATTGTAGCACCATGCGTGGTATCACGTGTAGTAGTTCTCATATGTAATATTACCGCGTGTAGGAATTGTCATGAGTAGAGTCACCATGAAGCGTAATTGTCATGTGTAGTATCGTCATATGTTGTATCACCACGCTTGGTAATTGTCATGTGTAGTATCGTCATATGTGGTATTACCACGCGTGGTAATTGTCATATGTAGAATTAGCATGTGTAGTAACTGTCATGTGTAGAATTATCACGCGTAGTATTACCACGCATGGCGACTCTCATGTGTAATTTCACCACGCTTGGTAATTGTCACGCGTAGGAATAGTCATATGTGGTAATTGTCACGCGTAGAAGTCGTCATATGTGGTAATTGTCACGCGTAGGAATCGTCATATGTGGTAATTGTCACGCGCAGGAATCTTCACATGTTGTATCACCACGCTTGGTAATTGTCACGCGTAGGAATCGTCACATGTTGTATCACCACGCTTGGTAATTGTCACGCGTAGGTATCGTCATATGTGGTAATTGTCACGCGTAGGAATCGTCACATGTTGTATCACCACGCGTAGTATTGTCACGTATAGTATCACCATGCGTGGTAATCGTCATATGTAGTAATCGTCATAAGTAGTGATCGTCATATGTAGTGATCGTCATATGTAGTGATCGTCATATGTAGTGATCGTCATATGTAGTAATCGTCATATGTAATAATCGTCACATGTAGTATCACTACCTATGGTTCCATCGCGCATAGCGACTGTAACTTACAATATAACCACGCTTGATAATTGTCACGCACAGTACCACACGTGGTATCACCACACATGATACGCTTGGTTTCCACGTGTGACAGTCACATGTAATCGTCATGTGTAGCGCAAACGCGCAAACACGTACACCTCCACACGACATCACGTAACATCATTCCAATTCTCCGCAATATATCACCACACGTTATATCGCCACATGTCGTGCAACCGCACGTAACGCCTAAAGCAAACCAATATCTGGATTTTATTATACCGTTCGATAGAAGCGACCACACCGCGTTATCGATTACTATTATCCAGCATTAGCGAGCGTCGATAATCGCGATAACTGACCACGTCGATTCTGATATCGAAGTATAATACGATGTCCGTCGTACCCACGGCGTTTTACTCTTTACGCTGTTAAAGTATTAAAAATAGAAAATGCGAGCGTTCCCGTTCCAAGTCGCGGATCGTACCACGTTGAAGCGATCGTGTAAAAATAGGGGAAATTTATTTCCGCTCTCTTACAGACACTACTCTGTCAACGGAGTGGAACGCATGATCAAAAATACCACGGTTACGGCTCGTAAAAATAATTGAAGTCCATGAATTTACCGCGAAATTGCTGGCGAAATCTTTGGTTTTTTTATTCTTTCTTTCTTTCCTCGTTGGCTAATCCTTGAGATGACGACATTGTAACAAAGACGCGAACGACAGGTGACAGCTACGAGGAAACATCACAGAGCGGACATCTCTGGCATGCGAATGCAAACGGAATGATTGAAGCTGATTATCTTTGAAACACGAATTTTGAAATTTTCTTCGTTAAATTAGCTCTGGGCGTGGATAATTTATTGCTGGTCTCAAAATATCTGTAGCTTTGATGTCTTCAAAAATGCATATGTAGGTCGAAAAACTTAGGCATTTGTTCTGGAGGTGGTTTCGTTTCGATATGTATGTTATCGAACTTTTGATGATATATGTTCTTGGATATTCAAATATAATTTTTTATATGTACAACTTTAAATATAGTTTTGAATATGTTTACGAATGTATACATTGTCACACATGTGTCATATTTACTATACCTCTTTGAATACATACGTTATCCTCTTGAATATATTATCGAATATGTTCTTTAACGTATATGTTAATATATTCTGTCGTATATGTTATTGAATATATGTACACACTCTTGAACTCATATTCAGCGAATGCATACTTTAAAATATGGATATAGATTCTTAAACATGTGCACTGTCATACATGTAGATCTTGACATATATGTATACACTGTCATATGTGTACGTCTTCAGATACACATGTCATACGTGTACCTGAGGTATACGTACACACTGTCGTATATACATATACGTACTTGAATATATCTATCACTCACAATATACGTCTTGAAATACATCTACAAAATAAATATACATATGTGTACGTATGTGTCCATATGTGCTTCCATGTATAATACGCCATAGACCTACATAGATTATTGAATATATTTGACTTCGAAAGTAAGCTTACAGTCTGTAAATACCCTTATATTAAAAAGATAATATTTGTGAAGAAGTATTAAAATTGTACGGTATTCAAGGAATAACTCTAATTACGATAATAAATTGGAAGAAAAATTTGAAACCGATCATCGAATGTCTCGGAATGTCCAGCTTTAGTCGTAAAGATTCTTGAAATTCAATTAGAAACCGTAAAATCGGCAAAATCTGGTAAGAGGATCAAGAGCGGATCAGAAATTCGCCGTACGAATGCTCGTGCGAATCGGCAGGACACGAAGGATCAGGAACGAGGAAGGCAATGATTTTCTTGTCACGGCACCGCGGAAACGAAAGCGAGCCGATTATTATCGTTAATTACGCGGCTCGGTCGTCAAGCCGGGAGAGGCGGACGGCAATTTTATCGGGGTAGCGAAACACGAGAAAAGAAAGAGGGAAAAAGAGAGAAGAGGGAGAGAAACGATATTATTCGTACGGTTATCGAAACGGCGTGCGTGTGGCTCGCGAAACGAACGGGGGACATGCACGGTAATCGAGGATCCTTAATTACAACCGTTAGCCAAGGTGACATCGCGGAAACGTCGAGTAAAGCTTCCATTTTGTGCAATTCCTCTCACGGCTGCGTCGCCCGTGTGGACGCATCGCCGCTCGAATTATCGCCGGAACGATTCTCTTTCTACAATTTGTATACGAGTCGAATGCCTCTTATCGAGCTGAAGTATTCGATCGGTTAAGAATTTCGATGTTACGCGCTGTAAACGGAACCTGAAATACGAGCTAACGAGATAATTCCCGGGCTGATTAATTATGCGGACCTCGGGATCTTAAAAATTTCTTCTTTTCATCGACGTTTTTTAATTATAACGTTTATCGTGATGGCATCTTTTGCGATTTATTTAACCCATTTTTTGCGAAACGGGAAATCACTTTAATAAAATATTTGCTACAATTCTATGATGCGAGATTTAAGAATTTGTTTAAATATCAGGGTTTAAACAGTATTTGTAACGATATACTTCTTGTAACATGTCACGAAATACCGTTTAATTTTATATGGGACTTCCGTTATATTGCCAGAGATAATGTAATAAAGACTTAAGCATCTCGGGTTTTATTAAAACTTTCTAAACCTGGGAGCCGTAAAATGACGCAAATGACCCAGTTCGCGTTATTTGCAAAAGTATATCTAATCTCTCGATGAATATTCTTATCGATATATTAGTATAAATGTTTAAACATGTAACGAATAAATTTGGAAGAAAAAGAGTAACATTCGTGTTAAACGATAAATGCAAAGTAGTTTGAATTTATTAAAAATTCAGTACGTTTTCAGAATCCCATTAATCCTGTTAAACAACTCATCGAGTCGATGCATGATTTATCGTGGCAATATATCGCGCGATAAAAATTGAAAAATAAAACAGGCAAATTGAAATGATATCAATCTCGATACCTTCACATTTTTCCAATATTTATCCAGTCATAAAACCCGCCTCTCTTCCTCGACGCACAAACAGGGAATGTAAAATAAATTACTGGGGGGATAAAAAAATAAAAGGAAAACAGAACAATATTTTTCGAGGTAATATTCCAGGACGAAAATTTCGGTCGTAAAGGAAGATTTTGACCGGTTCAAGATTTTCCATACAAAAGCGAGATTCCAGCGTGCGAGAAAATGAGTTTCGGAGGCAAGAAAGCCAACGTCTAATAATTCACGATCAGGCTATGAAGATATCACTGACCGGCTACGGAATATCTTAAACGGGAGAGTGAGGTCATGTGGCGACTTTAAGGTTGAATCGCAATGGGGTGATCGGAGATCGTAGGCAGAGATCGTGGAGGAAAAAGGAAGGGTTACGGAAATTTATAAAATTGGGAGGTGGAGGATTTTGGGGATTTGAGGTTGGAAATTCGGAGATTTGGAAGTTTAGGGATTTGGAGATTTGGGGATTTAGAGAGTTGGAGGTTTAGAGATTTGGGGATTTAGAGATT